TAAATTCGGAGAGACATTTTCAGATGTGTTACAATATAAGACTTACATGAAAGAGCAAGGATCACTGGCCCTTCTTCAGTTATACATGAAGTGATAAAATATTAATTAAATTTTCTGGTTCCTGCTTTCATGTAAGTCTTATGTTGTAATCACACATCTGAAAATGTCTCATCGAATTTAATTAATATTTTATCATCTAACTGTATAACTGAAGAAGGAGCGACAGTCCCGAAACTTTATATTTATATATATATATTCCTTTTATATTTACTTTGTATGTTAGATTGAGTATTAATTTAATTTTGGCAACTACCTTTGGCTTGATCATTGATCTTGTTCAATATTTCATTGTTTTTACACGAGTTTTTATACGTTTATTAATTTTTATCTTTAAAGCACTTTGTTTTGTTTCGGTATGATTTCTTATTTTCGAAATATAATAATTTGAAAATAGTTGGACAGTATAATTGGCCATATTCTCGTGTATTCGAAAAGGGCGCGTATTTTTTCAGTTGACATATTGCAACGATATGAATTCGCTATCAAATTTTGCAAGAATATTTTTTGCGCGATACTTCAATTGATCGATGTCAATGAGGAGTCGTGTATAAAAGAATCGACACTTATTTGGCACGATTTTTACGCGTGACTCGATATATGTATATCTTAAGATGGCGAATTAGCACATCTTGTTATTTATAACATCAAAAATCGCGTATTATCATCTCCAGTAATTATTTCAAAAGGCGAGTGATTACTCTTACTTGCTGCGATGATAAGTCTATGATGCAAATCGAGAAATCGTTAAAGCCAGCCAGCGAACAAACGAGGTTTTCCGCAATTGTTCGTTTTTTTATTCTTTTCTGAACGCAGATATCAAGGCACTTTACAGCGGTCACATGTAACGCGAACCAACATTGTGAGTCGTTTCAAAAAATCATTTTCCGACAAAAACTTGCGGAATTAGAACGAGGTTGTAGGTTGTGTCAAGGTATAATCGAAGGATGTTGACACACAAATCCGATATGATTTTACGAGAAACGTATCGTAAAATCCAGCCAAGTGATTCTCGTCGCGCACACTTTATCCCAGAGAACGTTCCTTCCTGACAATGAGAATGTTCCCAAGATTTCTCGGATATGGAATGCGGTTTCAAAGAGGTTATAGAATTCGTGTCTGAGAATCTGTTTCGTTCAATCTTATCAGTGTCAGGACATTCTCAGAGCATCCTTCAGTCCCTCTTGAAGATCTGTACTACATGAGAAAAACATTGGAATTTCTACGTTTTGCTGGTTAAATAAAACAAATATGAGCATCGCGCCATGGGGAGATTACTGATATTATTGTAGAAAAACTCGACGGCTCGCGCTTCGATATCGCTGCGCTTGCTCTTAGCGAGGAACACTATCGTGTCTCCTGATAATTAATTATTTAACAATTAAGAAAACGTAACGACAGCTGCGAACGACATAGTTGCATAACATTAAATTATTTAGCGCGAGAAGTGAAAAGCGACGGTATGTTGCTATCAGATCGTCAATCGCCAGAACGAAGGATGCACAAATCGTCGCCTGACGAAATAGGATTTCCTCGATTATTTTTCCAACGGTCGTTGCACAACCAAACATAATCGGCTGATAAATAAAACCAGCTTATTGTATCATGGAGAGAGAGAGAGAGAAAGAGAAGAGAGAACTCTCGAATCTTTTAAGCTCCCTCAAGGTGGTCTCGTCTATATATAGCCAAGTGGGATCCCAGAATAATATCACGCCAAGCCGGTAACGACCGAAGCTCACCTCGCCAGATACAGTACATCTCGTCCACGAATTAGGATAACTACTTGGAATGAAGGGGTCAATTCACCGGTTGTCCTTTCCCTTAACGAAAAGATAAACAAATTTAACGAGAGCCGCTCGGAAGCGGTTTAACGAGTGACATTAACGTAATCCGAAGTATACCCTCGCGATCACTTCAGCCCGAAGAAAAATAGAATAAGAATGACGCGGCATTTACTAAAAATAATAACAACACATTTATCATTAATCTATGAGAATCATACAATTTCGAAGAGTACTCGCAAGCTTACTGAGGGTCACAGTATTTATTTGAAATTGAAATGACGAAATTATTACATTATTATTAATGAAGAGATCTGAATAAGTAAAATCGGAAAATCTTTAGTACATAAACTTTAGTAAGAAAGCACCAAAAAATTATAATCTCAAAACAAAAGAAATACATTGAAATATACTAATGTTGAAACTCGTCACTTAGCTCCAGACAGTTTGCTTCTTATTTCGTCTATACGTATAAATCTTAGATATGTTTTCTACGAGATAACCAAAATAAACAGGTCGCAATTAGCACGTGAAATGCAGGATATATCATCAGCTCGAATTGATAGCTTAATTCGTGGGTGAAACATCAATTTTAAAATGGTCTTACATAGATTTTCAAAGTGCATTGAAATGTTATCGTAACGAAACATTTCAGTGCATGTTGAAAAGTCCACGTGAAATTATAATTCTAAAATTAGTGTCTTGCCTACGAACTAGGCTAATCGACTCGGGCGTATCAGATTAGTTTCGCTTATCGTAAATGCCGCCGATCCCACTAGACGGAGAGAAAAAGCGGGATGTTCAGGTTCCGATAAACAAACCCGACTCGTTTCAGCTCTCTTTTCTATTCACAGCTCGCAAGAAAGACAAATATGTACGCAGTTTCTTCTACCAGTTGACAACGAAGCTATTGCTGGGAAACTGGCCAGCAGTTTATAATCGCGGCATGTGGGTCTGCGTAAGCTAATTTTTTTTATGATCACATCACTCTCGCAAGAGTTGACTGGAAAATAAGTGTTTCTCTGTCTAGAAATTATCGATGCGTCGATGTCAAGAAAAAGAGCTAGGCGAAAATGATGGCAGACTCGTTATGCGGAGAGAAAAATGAGCAAGACATTGAAATGTGGAATACGCTATTAGTAAAATATACCAATTTCTGTTGATATCTGCTAATTGTGATTCACAGTTTTATTCCGTAATCTCGGTTTTATGCAAAAAAATACTTAAAACGATACGGATATATATTAGAAATTATTTTACTTACTTTATTATCTTACGGCCCTTACAATTTGTGATATATTGATGAATCGCTAAATTTTATTGTGCCTAAGTAGTAGCGAGAATCACTATCCTCAATTTATTTCGGCATTTTGGACGTTCAGATACAATCAATGATTTATTAATCAATGATTTATCTCTCTTTTTATTATAAAATGTAAAAATAAAATTTAATGAGAAAGAAATATCTGCAGCGGTAGATAAAAATCCGCTACCATCGATAATACTAGCCACGACATGAAATATTTGCTTTCGACAATACTTCTCTCTTTCTTTCTCTCGCTCTTGACTCACATATAATATTGTGCGCCATTTAAAGTTAGGCCAAGGGCTACCAGAAACTGATTGTTAATGAAAAATCGACGATGAGTGGACGTGTTACATTATACTTGCCGCGATCATGCCGCTGAAAGGCATTATCATTATACATCCCGGATTCCCACGGATAAAGAAGGATGGGTAGTCTGCAGAAAAAAAAAAAAAATGAAAGGAGTGGCGCGGCTCGGCGGTGGTCGCTAAAGAAGAACTGACCCTCACGACTGTCACGTTTAATTTATATGTTAATGAAGAACGCATGTCACACATTTCAGCCGCCCCATGCACCTCTTTTCTAGGTACGTAAGTGCGCGCGAAGAGACTCGCCCCGTTCATTCCACTTCTTCCCCTTCTCTTTCGTCTTCTCCATCTCCTCCTTCCCTTTGCTCTTTTCTTTATACATCTGCCCTCCTTCGCCTTCGGGTTTATATTTAACCGCACCACACACCATGGCACACTCGAGTAACGCAGCCAACTTTGCCGCGTTACTCGCCGGTGCATCTCTGTCTCTTTCACCTCTTCTTTCTCTTCCTCTTGCCTCATTTTCGGCCATGCCCTCCTCCTGCTCCGCTCCTCTTCCTTTTTCTCTCCCTTCGCGACGAACCGTTTTCTTTTTTATTTTCTCCTCTTTTTTTTTCTTTCCCCTTTGCGGCTACGCTCGTTTTCGTTGTGCCAACGAAGAACGGAGCGACCCGGGCGCCGTAGGTACGAATCATGCACACGTTCCACGTGAGCTCGTTCACTTTCAGAGAAAAAGGCGGGCTGCATCACGTGTTTCTTCCCACGTTGCAATTGCCCTTGTACGAATCCCTGAAATTACAGAATCGATGAACGACGCGATTATACATCATGAATTATCCAATCGATTATCCGTCATCGAAATAGTTATATTTTTTTCATGATTCTCTGCTTTCTTTTATTTAGGAGTGTGAAGTAAAGAATATGCGGAAAAAAAAAACAGATTACGTAAGAGAAACCCTGAAAAGCTTACGCTCTCATGATTTATTCTCTCTCAATTTTCACAATTTTCAAAGTTTATGTACGTACTTACATAAGGAGTTTCAACGTTACTATAGATTTACAATCCATTGATCCAAATGTACGTTTGAATATCTTACGCAATAAGATGTATAGATTTCCCAACTGTGTGCTAAATATATATTTATAGAGATCTTTGTGTACTATTATAAATTGATATATGCGGACGTGACAATCGCGAGCATAATGAATTTGATTAAACGTATCGCGGCGTCGCTAAATAAATGGTTTATGATCCAACGAATTTGAATTGATTTATATCTCCGAGCCATTTAAGAAAGGCTAAACAAATCGTTAAAGATAAGACTTACGGAGTGGGAGTCGCAATAACGAAGGCGGAAAAAATCCGTCGAATAATGTACACGACGCGAGTACACGACGATCGTTCTACTTGCAGAAATGTTCAGATTACAAGGCTTCGAAAGTGAAGACCTTCGTAAGGACCGAACCGCCGGACACGCAGGTAACTAAATCGGTGATCGCCCTACTGCTGCACTATGGTTGGAACAAATTCTCCATTGTAACCGAGCGTGCCTGGTCAACGGTCGCTCGTTCACTTCAGCAACAGGCGGCTAAGAACAACCTTACCGTAAACCATTACAAGACCGTTGAGGATCGACACACATGCTGCGAAGAGAGACTACCGTGCTGCCAAGTCAGCGTATGGTTTCAGCTTATACAGGAGACGAAAAATATGACCCGCAGTCAGTCCATATTTCTTTAATTTATTTTTACACCGGATTGCGAGACGCGATCGCCGAAACTCTCCATCGCAGCAGATCGAAAAGCTGCGATCGAATATGAGCCTTTTGAATTCCGTCTGTAACAATTCAGCGATCGTCTCTTGGAATCTGGATTTCGTCGATTTCAAGTTCAAATCCATTTGTAGACTACAATGTATATTCGTTCACTAAGGAACGAAGGATAAGTAAAAATCGTTTTCAACTTGAAAAAAAAAAAATGCAATATAAATACATAAATTTTATATTTATAGTATTTTTAATATTATAAGAAGTATTGCATCACTTACAGAAACAGGGAAATCGTTACTTAAATAAAGAAAGACGTACATTTCATCCAATTTTATTACTGTTTTAATACTGTTATTTTATGCTTTGATATTGTTAAAATTTAAAATTAAAATTAGTAATAAAATCTCAAATATTAATAGCTTTTATTTGCTTTCAATATTGCACAGAGTGTTCTTAACACGCTCAAGTACATACGTTATCAATTGTTTTTCAGTTTGTTATGTGAAAACATATAATTTTTTGAAAGAAAGTAAGTAGAACCCAAACATATTAAAATACACGGAATACATGTATAAGCAGTTTTACATAGCTTATTATGACAGTATTTCTAAAAAATAGATGCTTTTTTATTGCGTTTTCGCAATTTTATTGAGTTTTCGATGGAATTGCATATTTAAAGATTCATAACAAATAAATAATTCACATTTTTTCGCCGCTGAAATATAAAAACACTTCAGATGACTATTCTGTTAATAGCAGTTTTTTTTTTAAGTCGTCGGTGATATTTTATTACTAATGACACAAATATGATTGTAGAGAGGAGAGATGAATAATACATTTGCGTAATATATTTTGTTGACATTTATAAATAAAAAATATTCATAACTAACGTTATTATTTTTAAAATTATTGATAGTATGACACATTTCAAATTGTATTAAAACAAGCGTTGTAATAATTATGTATTAAGTAATTTTTTAAATCAAATAATATGCATTTTTTTTAAGTTGGATCACTTTATGCACATAAATAACTGAAAGAAAGTGAAGAACTTAATGATTTACTTACATTTTCTATTTTGTTTTGAAGAGTGATGCAATA